TTTTTTTTTTTTTTTGTAACTGTTGCAAAAACACTAACAACAACAACAAGCTCAGTTAATTGCATTGATTTCTAGCGCTAAAAACAAAAATAAACAAAAAGATGTTGTGATTTACACTACTACAGGTAAAAGGCTGGTACTGTATCTTTTTTAACCCTCAGTAGGCCAATTATATTTTCTACTTGTCCTCAGCAGACTGTTGTAACCAGCCCACACCTGGTGTCCATTCACTAACTGCACCTCATGTTAATGTAAATTCACATCTGTCTGTACTGGGACTGGGACAAACTGAACTGGACAATTGGCTTCTTTTCTTTTCTTTTTTTTTTAAAGAAAGATCTCAACATGTTTTCCACCCATATGATCATTTTCTCCTGGGAACTGGGGAATCACACAGTTGTTATACAGTAGGCATTTTTTGGTAATTTGCAGGTGAAAAGAGGATGTCTGCTTCTAAATCAAAACCGGGTAAAGTTTTGGATGTTTTTGAGACATCTAGGTTACTTACTTACATAACTGTTGTTTCATATTTCAATATTTGGTTAGAATTTGCTTCACTATAAATCTATTCATTTATTCATGTGAAACAAAAGTTAAATGTAATGTAGCTGTGTAAAAACCTTTTATTTTTCACGTAATTTAGCCCACTTTACTTGAGCATGAAAATTTATTATTGACTTTAAAATTAGCATGTTTTTAAATGTGCTTTCAGGTACAAGACGTGACTGAAAATGTCAAAAAATTTTTTACATGATAAGTCAATAACAACTGAGCAGTTTCTGTACACAGATGAAGTGCTCTGGAAGGTTTTCAATTGTTCATACTGGTAATCTAAGAATATTATCTATATACTTGAAAATGTGACAACAAGCCTCCCAGAAGTCACTGCACCCGGCTCCTAAAGCCACAAATTGCCATTTTTACATTTCTGTTTGTGTATGTGTTGTTTCCCTCAGTTTTCAGTCAGTATGCTAAGCTAAGCTAAGCTAACCTGCTGCTGGCTGTAACTTTATATTTACTGTATGGACATGAAAGATGGAAAGCAAATAAACTCATTTCCAAAAGGTAAAACTCTTCCTTTCAGTTAAAGTGATGACTTACTTTATCTTATTTACCTTAGCTTATCTTAGCTTAGCTTAGCTTAGCTTAGCATAAAGACTGGAAACGGGGGGAAACAGCTAGCCTGGTTTTGTGTAAATGTAACAACCTTTGGAAAGCTCTCCTCTAAATTGTGTTATTTCTCAGATTCTGCTTGGATGTGTAGATGTTTTTTGACCTGCAAATTATCCAGTAAAAGCCTCCTGGGAAATGAGGAATAAAAGAAAAAACCTTCCCTGTGTTTTCAACCGGAACATGTTGACACAAAAATGAAACAAAGACATAAACACTCTCCCTCCAACAAATGGCCCTGTTGCCAATTTAAAGGTCCTTGTTGGACCCAATTTAAATGTCCTTGTTTGACCTTTAAATTGGGGAAGAACTGGTCCCAGAACCGTCTGATCCACATACACACACACAAGGTCATTAAAATGGGACTGGCACACAGGCAGATTATCACAGCAGCAATCCGCTAATTCATACATATGCAACATTCATCTTCCACTTTCCAGGAGTGTGAAACACAGTGATGTGGTCAGAATACTGTTCAGAACAACCACAACTTCATTACTAATTTTCACGTCTCTTTTTTGTTTTTTGTTTTTTTTGTACCCAATGATGGGATGGTGTGTGATGTGGAAACACTGATGTGTTTTGGGAGCTGAAATGAACAGTTTTAATGTGTGAGGACAAGTTAGAAATGGAAGTGCACACAGTATTGCTTCTGAATGGCAGAGACACCGTGTTTTTGTCTTTTTTTTCTCCTCCTGGTTTTGTTCATTTGAGTCTTATACACAGACAAGTTCGGTTCACGAGTGTGAAGAAACGCCTTCGTATCGTCTGAGCGGATTATTGCAGGAGGAGCAGATTGCCTCCCACCTGTGCCTTTCATGTCCACGGTAGGAGAAACCGATGATGTGAAGAGGTGAGACAGTCAGTCAGCAGCAAAAAACAACACCACCAACACAGCTTACAGCTTTCACCAGAGGAAAAACCCCAGAGGTGAGACAAAGTCTTTGCAAGTCACAAGTCTCAGTCCCAAAATGTTAGCACTAAAAGTCAAGTCCAAACCCTAAACTTGTTTTTGAGTCTCAGGTTCTTAGCAAGTCATTACAAGTCATATTCCCTCTCTGAAATGATACAAAGGAGGGAAAAAAGAGACCATAGCTGTTAGACTATGTTAGACAGTTGTTGCTAAAAATACCACTGCATAAAAAAACACTGGTGCTGTGGTAAAGAAGTAGCAACAGGAAATAAATAATTACCATATTGGCCCCATTATAGGATGAACCTGATCATAAGACTGCTAACGAATCACTTTTAGGACTGACTGACTCTGAAGTTGTGAACACATAATTAGTCTAGTCCTTGAATACAAGACTACCTCCACTTTTTTAAACCGTATTCCCAGAAGAAAATGTCTTTATATTTAGGCCAATACGATACTATCCACCATCGTGGAGACTATGAAAGACATTTTCACATCACATCAGGTCTGTCTGTTAGAAACATGGATGTATTAAAGAGAAATAATGTAAAACTTAAACTGACAGCAGCTCCAGCAGCGTATTATGTTTGAAACATAGAGTCAAAAGTTTGGACACACTTTTGTCGGACATGGTCTGACATATGCAACAAGTTCCCTAAAATAGATTAAAAGTATTTTTTATTACGATTACATTTTATTACAACCAAAACATAGGATGTCCAGGACCAAAAGCATGGGTATTAACTAATCAATAACAATAACTGATTATTAGTTAATATTTTTTAGATTACAATAATAGAATTTAAAATTATTCATCATACAGTAAATATATGAATGTAAATATAAATTAATTACAGTTAATTGTTTCATAGTATTTAGTCAGTTGATTTTACAGTACAATGTGACAACAGGTTTCAGTCTTATGTTTTTTACATTCCTGTTATTATCAGGTGTACGAGGTGCACGCTCAGATCGTAGACTTTTGTGCTGACATTTATTTAGATTTTTTTGTTGGTGCTTATGCTCTCAGGATATAATGTATATCTGGGTCTGTGATGGGGCTATCACAGTCTAACAGATACTGTTTTCTTTAACTTTTTAATTCTTCAACTGTCAAATGTGTCCGTCTTCTTTTCATTTACTTATACCGTGTGTCTTGACAAAGTGGTGTATAAAGTTCAGACTTCAAAGAACTTTCTTCAAAGAACTGCAGCAGACTATTAGACGTGGTTTAAGACAGTCTTAATGATTGTAAGGTAGATGCTTCAGCGTTCACATTAGAAGGTAATTTACTGGGAATGTGCATTTTTTTTTGCCAGAGCTTCTGCATCTAGACCATGGATTTACTAATAGATATGAATGTGGCACGGTGGATCAATCTTGCTGCCAATGTGCCCTTGAGGAGGTGCTGTAACTCCCTTCTGTGGTCCAGAAGGGATTTTCTCCACACACCGCACTGATATGATAAAAGAGACATCTGTGAGAAGGCTGTGTGCTAATTTTGTGCTAATTTTGGTCTGAATGCAACCTTGAGAGGCGATTAGTGCTTTTAGCTACAGTGGAAAGAGGTGTAGACTGCCAAATCTTGGATTCTTGCGACTGTGTGGAGAGCTGAACCCCCTGAAAATCCCGTCTTTACTGACCTCCAGTGCTATCCACCTTTCCACCCGGTTGCAGTGATGTGCAGGTGTAGTCCAGGACCCCATGACATCACTGCTGGGTGTGGCTACAGGTGCAACAGAACATATTTCTGACCACACTCAGCCACCCCCACCATTCATGAAACAGGCTTGGAGCTTTCAACCACAGGAAAAAGCAAAATACTGCATTTCAGCCTGATATTAAGTTATTCTTGAAGATCAGTTTTTGGTTTGAAAGACGAGTTTTCAGTGGGAAAAAAGCATTAAATTGTCAACAGAAATGTCTCAGATCAGGGGGCTCGGGGTCAAGTCATTTCAAGTAAAAAGTCCAAGTCAAGTCAAAGTCTGACGCTGACTCTGGTCCAGCTGTCAACGTCTGTCTTGTCATCCATCCATCCATCCTTCCCTCTTTCTTTCTTTGTTCCATTGAGAGTTTGGCTCATTCCTCAAAACACCATCAATGTCAAATTTAGAATATCAAAATAATTACTGTAAACAAATGGGGCCGCCCGCCTCTATCAGAGCTCATGTTAAATCTTCATGTGTTGTTCAAAAGTTCATCACACTACTTAATGTTCCTAAAAAGCACCAATTTGTTATTCTTATCAGCAAATAACTTGTTTTGTAAAAACTCCTCTCATCATTTTGAAATCAGCACGAGTCAGTTTTCTCTCCTGTGAACAATCAGCAGACAGAAACAGAGTCAAAGTCTTCTGTCCTTCAGATCACAGCATTGGAGATTTTCTGCCTTGAAACTAGTTTATAGAGGAGTTAATGCATCAGGGGGAAGAAGGTGATCAATGTTTGGATAATCCAACATCAAAGTATGAAGTTGGTAAAAAGTTACAACTTGTATTTTAATTCAAATAGTAATTCATGACCTCATTAACAAAGAAAGTCATGACAAAACACATTACTAAGTTAAGAGTTACTTCCATACTCTGGTCTCTTCTTCCCTATCTATGTATTTTTCTCTTTCTTAAGTCTCTCAGTTTCCCTGAAGGCATCACTGATAACGCTCAGATCATTTATTTCACTTTACCCTCCACCCCTCCTCCTCCTCCAGCTATTAAAGTTCTTCTCTTTTTCTCTCTTGTACAAAGTGTTTTTCTTTCTTCTTCTACCTTCATTTGTTTTATTTCCCATTCATTACTACTGCTTTCCTCTCTCTGTCAAGGTCAAGTTTGTTTTCTTTCTTTCATGGCTTTTTAATAGCCTTGTCATAAAAGTTAAAAATAGCCTCCGCTCCTTGCCTCTCCCCTCGGTGAATCATCTCAGCAGTGAAACTTGAAGATGATCAGCACGATCCTCTTGTACTCCTTCCTGAAGTTGTGGTTCAGGACGCCGTAGACGACGGCGTTGAGGCAGCTGTTGAAGTACGCCATGAAGTAGCTGGCCGTGAACAGCCACTCCGGTATGGCCCGGCTCAGCCTGGAGTCTAGCGCCACTGCCAGTCCGATCAGGTTCAGCGGCGCCCAGCAGACGGCGAAGAGCACGAACACCACAAACATGGTGAGGAAGTTGCGGAGGTCGTGCGGCTTGATTTTGGGTCGCGAGTCCGGCTTGACCCTCCGCCTCACCTGGATGACGAGGATCCAGATTCGCAGGTAGCAGTAGGTGACAATGCCGATCGGCAGGATGAAGTGCACCACAACCACTGTGATGGTGTACAGCGAACTGACCGACTGGGCGAAGGTGCAGGAGTACACTCGAGGGTCATACTGCAGCGACTCCACAAACCAGTTGGGCACAATGGCCAGGATGGTGAGCGCCCAGACGAGCACAACGTAGCACATGGTGTTGCTGTTGGAGAAGAGTTTGTCGTACTTGAGGCTGTGGCAGATGTAGCAGTAGCGGTTGATGGCAATGCCCGTGATGTTGAAGATGGAGCCGATGACGCTGAGGCCCATCAGGAAGCCGCTGATCTGACAGTGGATGTAGCCGGCGATCCAGCCGTCATGGAAGATGGCGGTCAGGACCAGCGGGTAGGGATAGATGGCGACCACCAAGTCAGCGAGGGCCAGGCTCACCACGAAGGCGTTTCCTGCAGAGTGAGAGGGGGAAGCTATGACATGAGATTTCAGGCATGACAGTGTGAAAGGTGTGTAATTACTTTGGTTTACCACCAACTGCATTTATTTTGCAGGACTGACAAACATAACTATGAACATTTTCGAATGACTCTTCATTCCAGATTTTTTTTCTCTTCATATTCTACTTAAATCAACTTGTCAAGTAGTGACGGGAAGTCCGGCTCTTTTCAGTGAGCCAGATCATTCGGCTCAGGTCACCAAGAAGAACCGGCTCTTTCGGCTCCCAAATGGCTCTTCATTTTACCACTTCTGCCTTTTATAATTCAGCCAAATTTAGCACTGTTTTGACCTATAATTAGTATGTGTGCACATATATCACTTAAATTATTCAATGTAATTATACTAAACCTTATAATTTCCATAAATCCATAATTTTACATTATGTTTGGTATAAAATGATTAAATGTAAAAACATCAAACACTATTACACATGTATTAAACATTTTATTTATACTGTTAATACTGTTTTGCTACAAACACTAAACAGACATGCATCTGGTAGTTGTACATAAATGTATGTATCACAGTTCTAATGCTACTGTGATGTCCATATAAAATAAAATAATAGAATAAATAGTACGCTATCCAAAAAAACAAATCATTCAGTGTCTGATTATTGTTTTGAAATTGCTCAATTGTTGTGTTTAACAGTGCTCCACCACTTGTTGAATATAAACTTTATCTAGTTTATCTGCACATTAAGACACATTTTTTTTTCAGAAGTGTACAAAGCCTCCTACAAACTTCCTCCCTCCACATCCGTGATCCCTGTGTAAATATTGATGGGCATCTCACTCGACAGAGTGCAACTATTTAGTAATAAGCCTCCACTGATCAAAATGTGTATCTAAAGACGGCTGTTAAGAGGGTTGTAGTGGAAAACCAATTTTGTGTTCGAAATGTTGCTTTTCAAGCAGAGAGGCTGTGGCCAGATTATTCAAATGTGTAGTATGTACCTAAGTGGAAAGGTCAAGTGGACATCTGGTGGATTACTGAAAAACAAGATGAAAACATTTCATCTTACATGCTATGTGATAAAGAAAATATCAATCTCACTAATAGAAGAAACAGACGATGATTCTTTTTGTGTTTTTGGTTATTGTTTGTCTCCTGGGTCTGGATTTCTAACCATATAGCTACAGAAGGTTGTCAATGCAACTGTTCTTGGGAGATGACCAGCAGTTTCTGGATGTGGGATTGTCCTTTTTGGGCTTGATTTTATCAGTCCAAAGCACTCGGTCTAAAGCACATGTGCATTTAAGGCGTGATTTTGTTAGTTTTTGCTGTAACATGCAATAAACCAATCAGAGTGCCATCTCCCATTCCCTTTAAAAGCCAGGCACTTCCACCTTGGCATCATGCTTTTATACTGGCGCAGTGTTTCAGAATAAGAATTAAATTCGAGTTGATTACATATTGTGACTGCCCAGTGAGCCCAGGCCCGGCTGTGTGCCCGAGGGGCAAGGAAGGGTTGAGCGAATCAGTACACTGTGCACAGCTCTACAAAGAAGTAATGGCACAAATCACAATGTTAGGAATATTTTATGTTACGAGAAGTGTAAATACATTTTCGGTTCATTATGAAACTTAGGACAAATTTAGTCTAAGTGAAGGATGGGAAACACAGATGGAAAACAGATTCACCAGGTAGTAAGAAAGAAAGCTTCTCTGAAGAGCCTGATTTATGTCTAACAGATTCCATGATGCATGGAAATGTGCGACACTCATGTCACACAGAATGCTACGATCTTCTGAGGCTGTGTTGTAATGTTACACCTGACTTATCCAAACATTTGAAGCACATTTTCAGCACACTCTGGTAACAGGCAGAGTATATGTGCATTGTGCACCCATTTCTCCTTGCACCAGTTGTAAGGCCCTTTATGTCTTTGGGTCGAATTTTACAACTTGAAGTTTGAAAAGAACTGGAACCAGTGGCTGCTTGAAATAAGTCTACAACACGGTTTCTTGTTTTTACACTTTCTTTCCATTCCTTTGGAAAACACTATGCCCTTCCACCTTAAACAGTGCTTTATAAATGTAATTTTAATTATCATACATTTTGAACAATGGTTGGTGTCTTATGTAGACAAAACACTACAGTAAAGATGTTGTCTCTGGGTCTTAGAACTTGTTAACTTATAGGATATTTCCTGGCATTTTTTTAGATAGAAAGGAACGAGTTCCTTCAGAAATAAAACAGCAAACCACAAACAAAAGAAAACGAAGTAAAGCAGTAGACCATAAAGTCAAAGTTGCAGTCAGATCACATTCCCCTCCAAATTCACTTTAATAGCATCTGGATCATTAAGCTCTCCAAACCTCATCACTTCCATTTTAATTCCACCAGCATCATTACAGGCTATTGTAGACAATTTAATACACAGACTGTCCAAACTGTCCAACAATTGGCACTTTAACCACTTCAGACAGCTCACACACACCTCGTCCAAAAAAGTTCATAATGATGGACTACTGTTTTCTATGATGGTAACAAAATCTCACCCTGCTCATGTGCTGTAAAGGTCTCCCACGTGGGGAAAATTAAGTCTGAGGGCCTGACGTCGCGAGCGAACCGTGCTGCATTTCAATTATGTTTTCTCACTGTTGTAGCTATTGCACATAGCTCCCTTTATGAAAACTCTCCAGTGTCTGTGCTGCATTTCTATGGTATGCACAGACTCTCTATCTCACATATATTCACCCTCCAGTCTAATGAAAGTAATTCAGTATCGAATTCAAGCATTTTCTTTTGAGTAAAAATTTAATTTTTTCAAGCTGTTTTGTTGCCAAATTAAATTTTCTGTATTCCAATGTTTTCCTCAAATCCCAGATGATAGTATTTTAGTGAAGAGGTTTCAGCTGATATAAAGAACCAACTTCAGGAAGATGATCCTTCCAAAAAAAGAGTTGCTTTATTATTACTAACTATAAAAGTGTGAGGTCAAGGTGGTTATTTAGAAAACAGCCATTTGGTTGCATTTGTTAGTTTAAAGGCTTCTGATTGTAAGTGGAAATGTCACTGGAAATATCTGGATAAAACCAGGATAACTAGAATCAGGCTATATACTGATATGATAGATAAAAGCAGGTAAATTCCCATGTAAATCCTAATTTTTGTGCTGATTAATCAACACTATCTCACACAAATGTCCCATTTGTAATAAATTACCATTTCCATTAATTTTTTTTCTAATGTACTAAATCATAAAATCAAAACTATCTGCAGATACTAGAGGCCATTAGAGGTAAATGCAAATGTTTTTCTGTCACCTCTTTATCCATCACTTTTACCAACAGCAAATACTCTCACTTTCCCTACCACCATAACATCCATCTTCTTGCCCCAGCCTCACAGATAGCAACACTACAAATGCCTCATCTGCCCTTCACTTTAACTGTGATCCATGTGCATCAAAATTTTACACTCTTCAGGCCTTCAGCAGACAAACCCATCAGGACTAAGTGTGTCTGAAATGTGGCTGTGGTCAGGTTGAAACCCATGAGTGGTTGAGAGATATGTTTCAACACTCTGCAGCTGCTGTAACTGATATGTTTTGGTGGGAGCATTTATCAAAGTGCAAACATCTTCACACCTAGAGCGGAGTGTGGTTGTTAACTGTGGCAGCGTTAATAACACCTTGTTCTACCTGCTAAACTATGCGGCACCATTCACTATGTATCACCCCCTGACTCCGTCTTCATTATGAAGAAGCTTCATTGTTAATATTCTGGACGACTCTTCGTCTCAAGCACGTCACAGAAGGCTAGTTAGGGAAGAGCTGTGGCTCGGAGCACAGAGACGGGGGACTTGTTAACCGCCAGTCAATATGTATTAGTCCATTGTTCTGTCTTTATTACTGTGTTTGCCCTTTGCAGCTATTCCCCACAATATCCCTCTTGTTGTGTAAGCGGGAGCCCCATGTTGATAAGCGGAGAAGAGAAATGTTGCCGGGGTTAGTGGTTCAATTCCCTGTCTAGTACCATGATTGAGGAAGACATTAAAACTGCCAGAGTGGGTCTCATGAGAACCGTTCATTCTTTAAATGTATAGATTCATGCTGCCTTAAGGTGCTTCTGATGAAAGTATCAGCTGTTGTCATGTAATGTCAGTATTTGCAGCAAAATGTACTTAAATATCAGAAGTAAATGTGTCCAATAGTGCAGAATGGGGCCTTAATATTAAACATAAATATTATTATTAGTTATTACTACTGATGCATTATCTTGTAAGCTTTTTAATGCTGCTCATGTGTTGGAATAAGTTTTTTTTTCTCGACTGGACTGCAACAGCTTGGCCATCCCTATAGTTGCAAATGTCTGCGACTGACTGACTGACTGACTGACTGACTGAGAGATGTTATTCCAACCGTTGGTCAGTCGAATGCCACGTGACTGAATTGAAATCTCCTCATTGGCCTTTGCTCTTGAATTGGCGCCTGCAGTGTTGCCAACTTAGCACATTTGTTGCTAAATTTAGCAACAAATCTAGGGACTTTTTGGACAAACCATGGCTACATAGAAGCGAGTTGCCAGTATTACGACTCTCTACTCTGTTCATTGAGCGGCACAGAGTGTCAGTTTGTTACCCACACAGAAGTTGTGCACTGTTAGAGACAAAATAAGAAAGATATTTCGTTGGTTATAACTTTCTCACTGACTGATCATTTTATAAGTAAATATTACCGAAATCACTGCAGTCTTTGTCTTTAATTTATGTGTTTGGGGATTTTGTCAGACGACATCGCAGTTACAGAATCAGGATTTGGAAGTTAACATGTAGTCTTAATTGGTGGCCTTTCAGTGACTATTTCATCATCTTTCCATTGTCTGACAACAAAAAACAGAAACAGAAAAACGTAAATAAGAACAACTTTATTGTGAATTTAGCTGTATTAAAATCCTGTATAAGTGAGCACAGAGACTAGAAGAGAAGCTTGAAAGTAAGGGT